AAACAAATAATACATTATATGTTAAGAAAAAGATTAATAAAAAAATAAATAAAATTTAAAAACCAATATAAGATTTAGAATAATCATTGTAGGACTATAAATTAATTGGAGATAATTAAAATGATTTTAATATTTACTCTTCTGTAGGAACATATCTCTCTACATATATGAATAAAACTTTAAACCCACCAACAAAGTTGAACTTAAAAATTTTTTTAAAGAAATGAAACATAAAAGGAAGTTTGGAAAACAGAATCATCCAGATTTTTACTACCCTGGCACAAATATTCTTCTTTATTTACTCTCTTTTTTTCAATTGCCTACTTTGGTATAGATTATACTACACATACTACATATACATATATACTACTTTGGTTAGAATTATACTACGTATATAATTTTGGGTCCAGATAATCACGAGCATTTCCATGTGGCTGCATAGGTACTGATGGTGACATCTGGTCTGATGAATGGAGGCACCGTGATTTATCAACCTCCTCCACTGGGATAGAGCATCTGGCTTACTTGCCATTACAGATAGCACAGCTGTATGCATATGACTTCTTTTCTTTTTTTGGAAAGATTCTCAGACATAGGGAATTTGAGGTCAAATATTGTGAGCATCTTTCTAGCTCTTGATATGTAAGCTGGACCACTTCCTGAAAGTCTCGTGTGCATCTGTAGAACCACGAGCAGTGTCCAGGCTGCGAGTGTCCTGGTCCTCTTACCCCAAGAGCTTTACATTTTTTCCCAATTAAAAAAGACCCCAGCAGCACCTGGCAGGCTCAGTCAGAAGAGCCTGGGACTCTGGATCTCAGGGTCGTGAGTCCGAGGCGCATGATGAGTGTAATGAATATACAAGAAGATAAACTTTAAAAAACAAATATCAAGTATCCCTCACCATTGTCTTAATTTACACCCCTTCGATTATTATCAAAAGTGAACATTTTTCCATTTGTGGTAAATCGTCTCTTCAAATTGTTTGCACATTTACATGTAGGGATCTAATTTGATTTTTCAATTAGTTTGCATCTTTACTACTCTTTACTTTACTACTACTAGTACTTTACTACTATTGTATACTACTCTGTATGTAGTATATATCAGACTTCTGCCTCCAACGTTGACAACAAAGATTTCTTCCTGGTAAGTTGTTTACCTTTTCATTTGGGCTAGGTTTGCCCCTATTAATTTACTTATATTATTTTTGTTACATTTACATTTTTAAAAAAAATGAAAATAATCTACTGGTAGTAACAGTGTCAAAGACACGGTCCTAAAGAGTGAAGATCCTAACAAGTCAAATCTGATGTTTTTCCTTTGTTTTTTTTATATTGTTTCTACGCCTGGTAAATGAATCTCTTTGCTCCTAACTTCAAAATAATTTGTTCTCTTCTAATTTTTAATAAGTTGATTAAAAAAATTTTTTTTTTATTTTTTTACTTTTATTTGACAGAGAGAGAGCTCATAGGTAGGCAAAGAGGCAGGCGGAGACGAGGAAGCAAGCTCCCTGCTGAGCAGAGAGCCCGATGCGGGGCTTGATCCCAGGACCCTGAGATCATGACCTGAGCCGAAGGCAGGGGCCTAACCCACCGAGCCACCCAGGTGCCCCCATAAGTTGATTTTTAAAGATTTATCTTATTTATCATTTATTTAAGTAATCTCTACACCCAACATGGGGCTTGAACTCACAACCCCAAGATCAAGAGTTGCATGCTCTTCTGAGCCAGCCAAACACCCCTCCATAAATTTTTAAAAGCCAACTTTTAAAAATCAGATTTAAAAAAAAAATTTTTTTTAAGTATCTATGGTATCAAACAGGGATCGATGTGTATTTTTCCTTCCAAAATGACTGACTACTTATCTCAACACCTCTTACTTAATAAGCCTCCCTTCTTTGACACATCTTATTAAATATTTAAATTTCATGGACTATTACAACGAATTGTTTCCTGTAGGGGTTTCGTGCTCTTTCCGCCCGTGTTGGGGGCTGATTCGGTCTACACAGCGGCCACCCCTAGTGTCTATTCATCAGAGGCAACCTCAACCTCTGTTCACTCTTCTAAAAGAGCAGACACTCCCATTTGTTCCCCCATCTCTGATGACTTTCTGCCTCCGATGGGATCTGCTTTCTTCTTAGCATTTGGCACAACTGATAGGACAAGTTGTTTCTTGTGTTTATTGTCAGTTTTCCCCAACAGAATGCAAACTCTTTGCTGATGCTGTTGCTGATGATGCTTTGTCTGTTCTGTCCACTGCTGGATCCTCAGTGCCTAGAACATACTTTGTACACAGTGGACAATCTATACATACTCATGAATGAATGAATACCTGCTAAACATTCACCAACTTCAGCTACCTCTATCTGCTGGTTCAGGAGGACCAGTGTTCTGCTAGCTGGGGATCTTTGGCTGCCTCTATTATGGATGTCCCCTCCCTCTGATGCAAGGCAATAGAGCCAATACTATGAGCCAATACTGCAGCATGGGGCGCATCCTGGTCTCTTTTAGGGATGCCCTGCCCTCCTTTGTCCTTTCAGATTGCTGCAAGATGTGGCTCATATGTGTAATAAAAACAGTTATTGGGGGTACCTGGGTTAACCAGTTGGTTAAGCATCTGCCTTCAGCTCAGGTCATGATCCTGGAGTCCTAGGATGGAGGCCTGCATCAGGCTCCTTGCTCAGTGGGGAGCCTGCTTCTCCCTCTGCCTGTTGCTCCCCCTGCTTATTCTTTCTCTCTGACTAAAAAAAAAAAAAAAAAAAAAAAAAATTATCAGTGGGGTTTAGGAGTGCAGAGTATAAGCAGATGGATGGTAGGGGTGGAAGAAGGCCTTCACTAGGTATCTTGTGTACTTTTTGGTTTTGTTTTTTATAAATAAAATGTAAAACAACTAAAAACAACTTTCTCTCTTTCCACTCCCCTTTCAGACCACATTCCCCCAGATGTGTTTCCAGGACAACTGAGGCTAGATCTGGTGTATTCGCTTATCTCCATAGTTTGCAGCTTCCTGGAAAGCCAGGCCTTGTAGTTCTGACAAGTTTCCAGAACTTGTTTCTCACCTGAGATGTGCATTTGAGCCAGTTTTAGTCTCTGCCCATTCACTGGCACAGCCCACCTTTTCCAGGCCGGATTTTGATTTCACAGCCATCCAGCAATGATCCGAGTTGAAATTCTTAGAGTAGGTTTACTTGGGTTTAAACAATTTTTTTTCTAGGGATGCCTGGGTGGCTCAGTTGGTTGAGCCACTGCCTTCAGCTCGGGTCTGATCCCAGGGTCCTGGGATTGAGTCCCACATCGGGCTCCTTGCTCAGCGGGGAGCCTGCTTCTCTCTCTGCTTCTGCCTGCCACTTAGCCTGCTTGTACTCTCTCTCTGACAAATAAATAAAATCTTTTTTTTTTTTTTAAAGATTTTTATTTATTTATTTGACAGAGAGAGATCACAAGTAGACAGAGAGGCAGGCAGAGAGAGAGAGAGAGAGAGAGGGAAGCAGGCTCCCTGCCGAGCAGAGAGCCCGATGCGGGACTCGATCCCAGGACCCCGAGATCATGACCTGAGCCGAAGGCAGCAGCTTAACCCACTGAGCCACCCAGGCGCCCCAAATAAATAAAATCTTTAAAAAAATTTTTTTTCTAGATGTGTTTCAGAATCCTTTTTGGCATTTATTGAAATTTGGGTATGGGATTACATTAAACTTGTAAATATAAGAGAAAATGGTCATCTTTATAATATATTTTCACTAGGAGCATGAAGTCTTGCTATTTCTTTGTCTTCTTTTCTATCCCTCAGTGATGTTATATGGCTTTATTTTGCCTTTGATATGTCCATTAACAATTACACTCTTCATAGATACTTTGTATTTTGGGCTGTCATGGAGAAGATATCTTTTAAAAGATTTGTCATTTCTTGTAGGGATTCAAAACAGGAATGCTATTGTCTTGGGTTTTATCTTCTATATGACTTTGAATTAATTTTACTACAGTTTTTTTTTTGGGGGGGGGGATAACTTTTTTAACCTGCCTAGATATACAATCACATTGCCTACAAAATCACCATATAGTTTAAATCTTCTTTTCCAATATCAATAAACCTTTTTCATTTTTTTTATTTTAAAAAAATTTCTGGCCTAAACTAATAGACATTGGTAGAAGACATTTTTATCATTTTCTGTGTCTGTGTGTGTGTTCTGTTCTATAATCTTTTTATACTCAATATATGAGGGTGTTTTTCCACTATCAATCTTACTGGCTTTGTACTATTCCTCTGTGTCTGTGTCACTATATCACCAAGTGACAAGGATGGCAGTATCTCCACTTGGTCGTATGGTCAGGAGGGAGTCATAAGGGACCATAGATGAATGAGTCTTCCAGCCTTGAGAGAGGCCTTGGATGTGTGTTGGACTTGTGAGGTCTCTGTTCTGGTTCCAGCTGACTCTCTCATTCATTCCTTTCATGCATAAACAGTAATCAGGCACCTACCTTGGTGCTTGAGGGAGAAACTCCCAATAACACAAGGTTCTTGTTAGCTATGGGCAAGTCATTTATGTCTTCTGAACCTCAGCGTTCCTGTTCATAAGAAGAAAATACTAGTAACACCATTTCTATATACGCTGCCTAGGTTCATGTGTGGATTCAATGAGATATTAGAGAATTTTTAAATGTTGCTAGAAGGGAACCTCAGGAAACATCACTTGTTAGATGAAGAGTCCAGAGAAGGGAAATGACTTGCCCACAGTCACATAGTGAGTTCCTGGGATAGCGAGGTCTCAAACTTGGATCTTCAGGCTCCCACCCAACTTACAATGCAGAAACTCCAGGGTTTCAGCCTTTGGGTCTATGGATTCCTTGAGCCAATGATGTTCTCCGAGGAGCAAGAAGGGCCAAACCGAAAAGCACTTTTTGTATACAGCCTTCCCTCTGTCCACCCCCAGCACTAACCTACCAACCTGTGCAGGGCGGTCCTGGGAGGGACCCATCGGATGACCCATGTGTCTCCTCCCCCAGCAGGGCATCTCTCCTCTGCACCTAGCTGTGAAACACAACTTCCCTGCCTTGGTCCAGCTTCTCCTCGATGCCGGTAGTGACCTGGATGCCACAGACAACGTAAGTGGTTGCAGAAACCATTTGGGCCCCAGAGGGCTTCTGGGCACCCTCCCAGGCTGGCAGGGCTTGGCTGCCATCTTCTAGCCTGGCTCAGAGCTGAGAAATTACTTCTTTAGTTTGTAAAAGAGCTGTGTGAATATTTGTTGAAGGGAATGGCATTTTATCAACCATTCCTATATTTGGAACATTTTGGTGGTTTCCACGTTGCTGCCATGGTCCATCAAACACTCCAGTAAACATCTTCCTACGTTCTACTGTCTCCTTTCACTGATTTTTTTTGTCCCCGCTTTGGGAAAATTTCTAGGACAGGGGTGAGTGGGGCAGTCTTGTGTCACAAGAGGCCTCTGAGTCCTGAAGTTGTGCTCAGTCAGGAGCCCTTTCAGTGTCCGTTCCCCACATGCCTCCCCCCAACCATGTAGTCCTCAGTGCCTGTACCTACAACCACGAGCAGTGGAAAGCAACTTGGCAGGATGCAGCACATACCTTCAAAACGATCAGGCTTTGTGCTTCAGTGAATTGGGCCTCAAGAAATACATTAGAAACTCATGCACAAAGATACCTATTGCAACATTGCTTATCAATCTTCAATTTGCAAATGGCTCAAATATTTAATAATAGAGAAATGATCAGGTAGATTATGGGTTAGACATAGATTACTGTGGAGCCGTTAAAAATGGGCTTTGTCGGAGTTTATAATATGTGGACAAGTTAGGTAGAAAAATGGACGCAAAATATATAGATGGGATGATCTCATGTAAAATCAACAAACCAAAAGCATTCTACATTAAAGAGTAGAAGAATTATATTGGGCTCGTTACAGAGATTAACTTAGCTAGCAAGTGGTATTTTTTTTCCTTTATTCTTTCTGCTTTTTTATCAAGTTTTCTCTGGTACTGAGTTTATGACTAAACCCATGTTACTCCCTCCCATAACCTCTTAGAGAAACTTGTTAAGATGCAGTTAGAAGTATACCCACCTTGGACCTGTCCTGGTTTGAGTTTTGGGCCACTTGTACATGCTTTTCTACTCTCCTATCCCCTTGGCTTCTTCCCCAGAGGCAGCAGACACCCCTCCACCTTGCGGCTGAGCACGCCAGGCAGGACATAGCGGAGATGCTCCTCATCGCGGGGGTTAACTTGAACCTGAGAGATAAGGTACATCTGCTCCCAACCAGCCTCCCTTTCAAGCTTTCATGGCTTCCTCTTTGCCAGAGACCCTACTACAAAAACCTCCTGCTCTCAGACTGTTGAAAGCTTCCCATCCTTTATATACTAGCTCAGATGCTGCTTCCACCAGGAAGCCTTCCTAGCCCTTCCTCCTCTGAGGTCCCTCAGGACTAGGCCTGCCCTTCTGCCGGTCTAGAACTATGAGGTGGTTGTCTTCTGTTTCATGGTCCCTCAGATTTTGAGCTCCTTGAGTTGCCCATTGGTGAGGGGGAGGAGTAGAGGAGCATCACATCACTGTCTCACAGTCCCCTACATGTAGGTCAGGGGTAGGGAAGCTTCCTGGCTCTTTGTGCCTGGGGGGGTGGGGGCGCTACTCCCTCAGGTGGCCAGAGGTTCCAGATGAGCTGAGGACTTGTTATAAGGCTAAGGAGGTCACAAGCTTGTGAGGGAAAGGGGCTTGCACAATCCTTGACATGGTGTGTGGAAGAGCTGTGGGGGGGGGCAGAAATAGGCCCTGAGGCTAGACCTGGAGGGGGGTTCCCTGGCTTGAGCTGGGCCCCAGGGAAGCCGGCCAGGTGCGAGGAGGAGCTTCCCAACTCCCTGCACCTGCCTGGAGATTGAGGCCAGCCCTGTGCGGGATGCCTGGAGCAAAAGGCTTGATATGAGGGGGCGGGTAGACGTGACTTGACGATCCCAGTCCCCCTCTCTGGGCTCTGGTTTCAGCTGAGAAGCGGGAGAGGTGACCTCTATTTCACAGGTGATGTTGAAGAGTTATGCAGGCTGAGTTTCATATGCTCTAAGACTTCCTAAATCTAAACAAGAGGCAGTTGCTGGAATTACTGCCTCATTCTTCCCATGCCTTCCATGCCCCTCGTCATGCCCAGAAAACATTTCTGCTCTCCTTTCTACTGGAAGCCACTTTCTTAGGGGCAGAACGTTTGCAGCAGATGCTAGAGGCCACCCTACAGCCCTCCTGTAGCAACTCTGGCTTCCCTTACTTCTTCCTCGCAGCAAGGGAAAACCGCCCTGGCAGTGGCCGCTCACAGTAACCACGTCAACCTGGTGGACATGATCGTAAAGGCTGATCGCCTCTACACGTGGGAGAAGGTAGGGACACCCTGCTCAAGGTCTGTCCATGTTGCAGAGGGAGCGGCCAAGGCGCGAGGTGGGGCTGGCTTTGAACCCCAGTCCTCACCCAATTCAGGTCCCCGCACCGCCCACCCTTGTTTCCAAGGAGGGGATAATCCTGGCCTTACCCACCACCAGGGCTGTCTGTGAGCATCTGGAGCTGAGAGAGCCAAGGTAGTCCTGGGGCCGTGCTGGGGTGGAGGTAGTATGGATGCTATTACTTTTTTTTTTTTTTTTTTTTTAGATTTTGTCAGGGACAGAGGGAGAGAGAGCGAGCGAGCACAGGCAGACAGGCAGGCAGAGGGAGAAGCAGGCTCCCTGCCGAGCAAGGAGCCCCATGCGGGACTCGATTCCAGGACCCTGGGATCATGACCTGAGCCGAAGGCAGCCGCCCAACCAACTGAGCCACCCAGGCGTCCCAGTATGGATGCTATTAGAGCACCTGGTGGATGGACGCGTGTGCGCACGCCTGCATGCGAGAGGACCAAGATGGCAAATTGGTTTCCACTCACTGCCATCTCCAGGTGACTGGGATTGCTGCTGGGGGTGTTGTCTCCAGGCAACTTTCTGAGCCCAGAAGGAAAGAGTGCTGGGATGGATTAGTGATGCTTGCTGAGGAACTGGTGAAGAGTGGTAGCAGATGTAAGATCATGCTGTTCCAGTCGCCAGTAAATGGGGTCAGGTAGGGAGGGGCTTTTTTGTTTTTGGGGGGTTTTTTAGTCTTTGAGGTTGTTTTTATAGTTGGAAAATAATTTTTGCATTTACTTCACTTTTAAAAACTAATAATTTATCAACAAATTTTAAAACCTGGTTTTCCTTGGGGTGCCTGGGTGGCTCAGTTGGTTAAGTGTCTGTTTTCCGCTGACAAGATCGCAAGGTCCTGGGATGGAGTCCCTTCTCAGGAATCCCTGCTCAGCTGGAAGTCTGCTTCTTCCTCTCCCTCTATCCCTGCTCATGCATGTGCTCTCTCCCTTTCTTGCTTACTCTTTTAAATAAATAAAATAAAATAAATCTAGTTTTCCTTAAACTTTTAAATTCATTTTGTAAATCTTCATTTACACAACTGGTATTTTTAGGAATCTTGGGAATTTCCATTTTCTAGGAAGGCTTTTTTTTTTAAACATTTTATTTATTTGAGAGAAGAGAGAGACAGTGAGAGAGAGAGCATGAGCGAGGAGAAGGTCAGAGGGAGAAGCAGACTCCCCGTGGAGCTGGGAGCCCAATGCGGGACTCGATCCCGGGACTCCAGGATCATGACCCGAGCCGAAGGCAGTCGCCCAACCAACTGAGCCACCCAGGCGCCCACTAGGAAGGCTTTTGATTAATGTTCGGACCCATGTTTAAACTTAAACTATCTTAAACAATTTAAGCGACTGATTACATCTGATAGATTTTTTTAAAGATTTTATTTATTTATTTGACAGACAAGAGATCACAAGTAGGCAGAGAGGCAGGCAGAGAGAGAGGAAGGGAAGCAGACTCCCCGCTGAGCAGAGAGCCCGATGCTGGGCTTGATCCCAGGACCCTGGGATCATGACCTGAGCAGAAGGCAGAGGCTTTACCCACTGAGCCACCCAGGCGCCCCTGATATTTTTTTTTTAAAGCACTTTGCTTCCTTAGTTTTTCTTTCTTTCTTTCTTCCTTTTTTTTTTTTTTTTTTTTTAGAGAGGGAGGTGGGGGAAGAGGAAGAGAGAGAATCCCAAGCAGACCACGAGGTTTGATCCCATACCCTAAGATTATAATCTGAGCTCTAATCAAGAGTGGACACTTAACTGACTGAGCCACCCAGATGCCCCCTAAATTCTTTAAGATTTTATTTATTTATTTGACAGACTGAGATCACAAGTAGGCAGAGAGGCAGGTGGTGAGGAGTCGGTGGGGAAGCAGGCCCCCTGCTGAGCAGAGAGCCCGATGTGGGGCTCCATCCCAGGACCCTGGGATCATGACCTGAGCCGAAGGTAGGGGCTTTAACCCACTGAGCCATCCAGGCGCCCCAGGTGCCCCCTAAATTCTTAAATTATCCCAGTAAATCAAACTTATAAAGTGAATCTCAAATATCTTAAACATTCCAATATTGTCTGCAAACTTAGCTTCTCCTGTACTGCTCATAAAAATCACTATTTCAAAATCAGTAACAAATTTCAATAGGAATCATAAGATATTCTCTTTCATGGACATACTTACTAGATTCTAGAAACATTACAGCCCCTTTTCATAAAACAGGTTACTCCTAACTGTGACCCCAAAATATTAGTACCAAGGGTTTGATGAACTGATTCCTCTTTATGCTTGATTCTAACACCTCAGACTTGAAAATTTCTCAATGCTAAGGCATCTGGGCAGTTAGAATCACAAACCTCCCTCCTACCCGCAGGCTAATTCAATCAGAATCACTGGTGTGGGGACCAAGCATCTGTAGTTTTGTTTTGTTTATTAGATTTTATTTTTATTTTAAGATTTTATTTAACAGAGAGAAAGAGAGAGAGATCATAAGTAGGCAGAGAGGCAGGCAGAGAGAGAGGGGGAAGCAGGCTCCCCAGCGAGCAGAGAGCCCAGTGCAGGGCTCCATCCCAGGACTCTGGGACCACGACCTGAGCGAAGGCAGAGGCCTTAACCCACTGAGCCACCCAGGCGCCCCTAGATTTTATTTTTTAAATTAATCTCGACACCCAACATGAGGCTCAAGCTTATACCCCCACAATCAAGAGTTGCATGCTCCACAGAATGAGCCAGCCAGGTGTGTCCCAGGAGTCAGTGATTCTTAAAGCTCCCAGATGATCCCGTGCACAGATGCAGCTGGGAACCCTGCTGAGGAACCTCCCCAGGTGACAGCCAGTCTCCCGGGTCATCGAGTCACTGGCCACTGTTGACCAGGATATAAGATTTGCAGCTGCAGACGCCAAAACCCACCTGAGCTTTTTTAAGAACCATAACTCTGTACCCACGTCCTTTAGAGGGGCTTACTTAGGCTTTTGTGGGGTTAACTTAGGCTATCACATAATTCTTTTGTAACTTCTCATTTCATCACCTGCTTTGCATAGAAAGAATTCTGTAAGCCCATCTTTACTACTTGTTGGGATTCAGGAAATCTAGTTAGTGCCTGATCCTTGGTTTGGCTTGATTGGTGTTAGCCACAGCTGCCGAGTCTTTCTGCTCGTGCTTGTGTAACAAAAACACAGAGAAAAGAGAGGAATTGGGAAGGCTTCCCAGAAGAGGTGGCATGTGGGTGATCTTTGGACTGTGGCAGTGGGGTTGAGGGACAGGGAGGTGAGAAAAGGAATTCTGGACAGAGGAACAGTGTGAACTGCTGGGGTTCCCAAATTCAAAGCAAGGCACAGAGCAAGAAACCCGAGTAGCACACACGATGCCCCAGCCCTGGGATGCTGCTAGGGCCCCTCCAAACTCCCACAGGAGAGCCTGGCAGGGATTTCCCCCCAAATGGCAGCTGCACTTTTGGGATCTGCTCCACAGGATCACCCCGTGCGCAAGGACCCCAAGGATCCCTATGGGAAGAACTTGACCTTTAAACAGGACCATCGGCTTGGGTACTTGGGAAAGGCAGCAATTCCACTCTGTGCTGTGGCGACTGGCCTCCAGGGACCTGCGGCCTCACGAGTGGAAGAAGTTGGCATATTGCTGGGAGTTCACTGAGGTCCACGCCATCGAGCAGCAGTGGACAGGTACTGCCCTGCCTCTCCCCACCCCAGAGTGACCAGTGGGCGGTGGCGGGGGGGGCATTGGATATTCGGTTTTCTGTGTTTCTGGGGGGAAAGCCCGTGCAACCCGCAGCCTGACTATAGTAAACCGCATGCCATCACCAACATCCCACATGGCTCTCCATCCTTCCAGGCCTTTGCTCAGGCTGTGCCCTCTGCCTCTCCCTCCCCACTGACCTGTGAACTTCACGTTCTTCATGAGTTAGGCCAAGCTGATACCCATCATTCACACACCAAACGAAAGTCACTCCCTATAAAAAGGAGAGGACCAGATCTTGCCACCATTATTTAGTATCTGTTTGGAAATGTTGGCCCAGAGCTCCTGGGTGGCTCAGTCGGTTAAGTGTCTGCCTTCAGCTCAGGTCCTGGGCCCGGGGTCCTGGGATCTGGGATTGAGCCCTGAGTTGGGCTCCCCACTCAGCTGGGAGTCTGCTTCTCTGTCTCCTTTTGCCTCTCCCCCCATCATGCTCACTTGGTCTCGCTCTCAAGTTAAAAAAAAAAAAAATTGCCCCTGGTACTAGGACAGAAAACAAACAGAAATAAGGACTGTAAAAATTGAAAGGAAGAGAGAGATTAACTTCAGATGCTATAATCATGCACAGGAAGTCCAGTCAACTGAAAAACTCAATAAAATAATGCAGTGAAATGGCTAAATATGATAAATATGATATAATAAATGATAAATATAAAATACAGACACCATAGTATTCCTGTCTACCATCAATAGGTGGGGAGGATATATAGAGGTATTTTGGAAAAGCTATTCCATTTGCAATAGTTTCTAAAAAGAAATATGAATGGCATATGAGTAAAACAATAAACATTAGTTCAACTATAAACAAAAGACTTGGGTAGGTGGAATGACAGTCTATTCCTGGCTAGACGTGTTAGGTAGACATCGATTTCTCCCAAACTAGTTTAAAATTTTGATTTTTTTTTTTTAAGATTTATCTATTTTACAGAGAGAGAACAAGTGGCAGGGGCAGAGGGATAGGGAGAGATAACCCAAGCAGATTCCTCACTGAGCTCGGAGCCCAACATTGGGCTTAATCCCACAACCCAAAGATCCTGGCTCCAAGATCATGACCCCGAGATCATGACCAAGAGCTGGATGCTTAACTGACTGAGCCACCCAGGCTCCCCTGATTCAGGTTTAATCACATCAAAATAGGAGGTTTTTGAAACTTGACTAAAATATTCTAGAGTTCTCTTGAAAGAATCAAGAGGGAATGATTAAAGATTTTATTTACTTGAGAGAGAGAGAGCATGTATGAGAGAGCACAGGAGAGAGAGCATGAGCTGAGGTTGGGGGGCCGAGGGGAAGGGAGAAACAGACTCCCTGCTGAGCAGGGAGCCTGACTTGGGACTTGATTCCAGGACCCCGGACCATGACCTGAAGTGAAGGCAGACGTCGGTTAACCGACTGAGCCACCAGGCACCCTGAAGAGGGAATAGTGAAGGGAAGGGAAAAGTGAAGAGGATCTAATCCAAACAGACTTTGATAGCTCAAAAAATTAGCATAGAGAGATACTGGACAGAAAAATATGCACACCAGTTAGTGGAACAGAGCAGGGATAAGAACTTTCAGAGAGGATAAAGGAGCACGCCTAAATAATGGGGCTGGGGGCAAGGGATAGTGAATAAATGGGCCAAATGAAGCCGCTATGACAAAGGCAGCACATGAGGAAGTGCCTGCTGATGGCCCAGAGAGAGTCAGAAAGTCTGAGCACTCGGTGGACTGACCTGGCCCCAGTGGCTGGGAGAGGAGACCTACCTAGTCACAGAGTGGAGTAAAAAGCTCACCCCCTCCTCCCACATCACAGAGTGTGGACAGTTATTTTCAAACATGGCCGTACATTGGAATCACCTGGGAAGGCTTAACACCGCTCACTGCTCAGGCTGCACCCAGACCCAAGTAGGTTGGAATCTCTCCGGGTGGGTGGGGAATGGCACCCAGGTGTCAGTATTTTTTGGAAGGCTTCCGGGGGTTTCCAGTGAGCACCTACAGCTGAGAACCACTGGTGTAGGGGAAAGAACATGGCCACCTCTGTCTTGCACTAAGCCAGTTTTCTCATCTGTAAAATAGGACCAATGGCAGGCAAGGCACAGGTTACTGTGAGTAGCCAGAGAAGCAGGGAATAGTCCCATGCGTCATGGGATCACAACAAGGAGTGCCAAATCTGTCTTCAGAGCGACACCAACATGATGCATGGTGGACGCTCAGGAGAAAGCCTGCAGCTGGGGAAGTTCTAGAGTCCTCAACACAAAACCTCCGCCCCCACCGCCTCTGAGCCTGTCCTGTCCCTCCTCTCCCCATCTCTGGGCTGAGCTCCACTGGAGCTTAGAGAAGGGCCTGGCTCTCTCCTACCTGGCATGTGCGGGAGGTGGTGCAGGGCAGTCAAGGGGGGGCTCGGTTGGCTCCTTCTCTTTCTCCCCTCATGGTCGTCAGGCACCAAGAGCTACCAGGAACACGGCCACCGGATGCTACTCATCTGGCTGCATGGCGTGGCCACCACCGGTGAGAACCCTGGCAAAGCGCTGTTTGAAGGCCTCGTGGCCATTGGCAGGAGGAACCTGGCTGGTAAGTGTCCCTAGCTCTGGGCAGCACTACCCCCCAGAATGTGACAGAGCCCCCGGAGGTCTGCTCAGACCACAGTGCAGTGGTGCTGGCTCTGAACCTTCTGGATTCCTGGTCCTAGCCTTGTCTACTGGAATTCAGGCAGAGCCCTGGGCAAACCAGTGCCTCCCAGGCCCCCATCTCCCCATCCGCACCGTCAGCGTGCTGGCTCAAATCATGCCTGGAACCTTCATAGCCACAAAGCCACCGATGCTATCATCTCTTCCTCTCTGGCCCTCTGTACTTTGATTTTTTTTTTTCTAATTTGGAATAAGGCTGGAACAGCCTGCAGACCTCTTTCACAAACAGTAAGACATATGGGCCAGAACTGGCTTAATAGGAGTTCCAACAGTTCGATCTGGTCAAATAAATAAAATTTCTGAGACCATCACAACCTTTGGAGCCTGTCCATTCTACATGCCTGGTTTGAGATTCTCAGCACCCTGTGGAACTATCAGGCAAGCAAGATAGAACATTCAGTACTAAAAACAAAATCAGCTCACAATGAAAGAGCTGTAAATACCGTAATGGCCGCTGGTGTGGTGCACTATGGGGAGACTCCAGGACGGGGTATCAGGCAGTCAGCAGTAGTAATGAAGGCAGTAACAGTGAAAACAGGGCTGGCATGTCCTAGAGAGGAGAAAGGAGAGCCCCCTGTGTGGTGGGTAACTCACAGCAGCTGTGGGCAAGGTGGAAAAACAATCATGGCCTGGGGTGTCGGGGGGAGAGGAGTTAGGGATGACTTTTTTCCCAAAATGTTCTTAAATATCTATCTTCTTTTAGCACAAACACTGGCAGGCAATTAAAACATGAAACTAGCCCTGTGAGGCAGAGCGTAGGCAACATGAAGCAATAGGATTCCTCTCTCTTGCAGAAAGCATCAGAAAGAAAGCAAATGCTGACCTGGGGGCCCCCAGCAGGTGCACGGCCATGTAACCAGAGGGGCCAGACTTTCAGGGGCATGGGGCCTCAGAATGGGAGCCACTGAACAGAAGAGGACCACCACGAGGGCTTTAAAAAAAAAAAAAATCACAGTTAACAGACCTCCAGCTGCTCGTACTGAACCGCACAGCCGAGCAGGAGCAGCGGGCACGGCTTATAATCTTTCACGAGGGCTGGTCTGGGGCCGGCTTGGGTTCTGCAGGCTCTTCCCCCAGGTATGGTTCTTTACAGTTCTTGGAGCCTCACAGCAGTCTCCTGAGATGCAAGGGTCATCTTTTCAGAGAGGACACTGAGGCCCCGGATGGATAAAGCAGCTAGTCCAGCTGTTGAGGTCGGGGGCCAAACCACGCATTCCTGTCTCTCCAACCATCACTTACAAAATGGACCGCCCTTCGCTCATTCACTGGCTTTTCATGAACACCACGCTTTACTCCACAGCTCTGTTTCTGTCCCCAGTTGTGTTCCAGGAGGCACATGCTCTTTTTTTCTGTTTTAGAGTTTTTTTTTAATTTAAAAATTTTATTTTGAAATCCTTTCAGACCTAACGAAAAACACTGCAGAACCAGTACAAAGAATTTCTGAAAACACTTCACAATGCAGCTTCCCCAAATATTAACATCTTAATCACAGCATAATTTTCAAAACCAAGAAAGTGAACACTGATACCACACTCTTAACTCCTCCTCTGACCTGATTCCCATTTTGTCCGTTGAGCCGTTCATGTCTTTTTCTGGATCAGGATCCCGTCCAGGAATACGCCTTACATTAAGTTGTTGTTGTAAGGACCTATTTAGCCAGAGTGACTCCATCTTGGTTAAAAGCCATTTTGTTGTTTGTGCAGTAAAACTTAAACTGACCCTGCCCCCCTCCCCCGCCGAGAAACTTACTTAGAAGCAAGTCTGGGAAACCAGTAAAATATGGTCAGCTAGTTCCTAATAATAGAGCCCAGAATACAAGGCCAGGTCGGCCAGTTCCTGATAACAGAGCCCAGAATACAAGGATGAGTGGGGCCAGGTGGAGACATCCAATCAGTAAGAAACACACATACTTTTTCCCTAACCACCAAAGAATGTAAACCCCGCGTTTGGGCGCCAACCTTGAGCACCAATTCTGACCAAAGTAATAGGTTAGTTCAAACAGCTACTATAGGGTAAATTGCAATTCAATTGGCCACCTGCGTGTGACCTAACATGACTTCAATCTCATTGGCCACCTATGTGCGGCCAGACTTTTGCTCTATAAAAGGTAGTCTGTGGGGGGGGGGGCGGTGCCTGGGTGGCTCAGTGGGTTAAGCCTCTGCCTTTGGCTCAGGTCATGATCCCAGGGTCCTGGGATCGAGCCCCGCATCAGGCTCTCTGCTCAGCAGGGAGCCTGCTCCCCCCACACCCCACCCCCCACCTGCCTCTCTGCCTACTTGTGATCTCTGTCAAATAAATAAAATCTTTAAAATAAATAAATACATATATTTTTTTTTAAAAAAGGTAGTCTATAAGATGGGGAGGGGTCGCCCTCTTCAGAGGCGGCCCTGACCAGTCAGTCAATTCTTGAGCCTGTAAGCTGGGAGTGGTCGCTCTCTTCAGAGCCGGCCCTGACTAGTCAGTCTGACTTCTAATGCTTAGCGCAGAATAGAGCTTTGCATAACTTTCACCTTGTCTCAGTCTGGTTCCCCTGACCAATCAGTCTAACTTCTAATACTTATCATAAAATAAAGCTTTAAATAACTTTCACGTTGTCTCAGTCTCGTTCCGTTTAATAACGGACCTAACAGTTGTCTTAGTTTTACTAGCCCTATCCAGAGGGTCACCTCTCCGGAGAAGCAGGGTCTAACAGAACTTTCTGGGGTGGTGGGAATGTTCCAGATCTGGGCTATTCAATGTTTACTCCTAGCCAGCCACATGTGGCTGCTGGGTACTGGAAGTGTGGCTAGTGGGCCTGAGGAACCGAATGTGTAGTTTAATTTTAATGATCAGAAATTTAAATAGGCCTCTGTGGCAAGGACAAGCATACTGGGCGGCCCAGCTGGGCTGGAGCTTTGCTCTCAGGTGCCAGGCCAGCACAGGCTGCCCTGTGGCTCGGCCACACTGGTGAGAGCGGGGCACCCCAAAGATGCGACTCAGGAAGCCTCCCCAGGGTGTCACAGGTGTGGGGAATTATCTGCGCAGGGCAATAGCTTGGAAGTTCTGCCTCCAAGCACTTTCTAATTGGCGCTCTCTCACATGTGGCACAACTCGCTGTGGCCAGTTTAGGAGCCCACGTCTAAGAAAAACTCCCCACAGATCTACCCGCTGGGCCTGAGTCCTGGGAGGGAGGCAGGATAAAAGCTGTTAGAGCTGAAAGGGGCTTCAGCCGTCACACAGGGCCAGTGGGAACTCCCAGTAGTACAATCCTCTGAAAGGCAGCTGCCATTCTATCTGCCCAAATGACAAATGCATTTGCCCTCTGACCCAGCAATCCCACCAGGAGGAATTTATCCTACAGATAAACCTGCAAACACTATACTAACACAAATGCTTAAAAATGTAGCAGAAACTGTGCTGTGCAGAGGGGTGCATGGGAACTCTGTGCTTTCTGCTCAGAGTTGTTTTAACTGTTCCTATTAATAATTTTTAAAAACCACCTAGAACTTAAGAAAAGGCAGCTTTGAAACCAACCTGTTTCACATGCAGTAACCTGTAGGCCTGAGGCTTCAGCGTTCACAGCCAGATTCAGACCACCCCCTCCGCTCCCCGTGTAGCACGCAGACCTCCGTGCCCTTCCTCTGCATATGTTGTGGTTTTGTTTTTTTTGTTTTTCATTTTCTTAAGTAGGCTCTACGCCCACAGTGGGGCTTGAACTCATGACCCTGAGATCAAGACCTTGGTTGAGATCAAAAGTCGGAGGCGCAACTGACTGAGCCATCCAGGCACCCCCTGCATGTACTTTGTCGAGGGGGAAGACCCTTCTCTTCCATTTATTCCATTTAGGAAATGTATTTGTACCACATGGGACTTAGACCATTTATGTGGATGAATTCTGCAAAATGAATTTTGTATTTTTTCAAGACAAAAAATCAAGTTCTTAAATAAAATTGAAATGTTGAAATTCATCTTTCACATTCAAGATCTGTTTCTTTCGTTTGGGAGACATATGGCAAAATTTCAAGTCAGACAAGCTATTGTGGATTGGTTCTGTATAACCACACCACTCAACTCACCACGGCCGGTCAATATTTACTGAGTCTTCTGTGCCAGACAGTTTGCTGGGAGTCAGGATGCAGAGCGGAGTAGCCACAGTTCCTGCCCTCTGGAAGCTTGTGATGTGCAGCAGGAGTGTGGGGGTTGGGGGGAGCTGGGATACCAATAAGGTACCATCATGTGGTTGATGTGATGATGGGTGTGTTCAGAGAACGACGGGATTTGTTCTTCCTCGGGAAAGGTAAAGAGGAAGGGGAGGAAGGTCCAAGAAGCTCACAAAGAAGACAGAAATGGGGAAAGCACATTCCAAGCAAGAAGCACAGTCTGTGCAATGGTATAGTGGTGAGGAGATGTATCTATTTGGGGAGTGGTGTGGTTGGGACACAGGAAGCATGGAAGGAGGAGGAGAGATGAGCTGGAGGGGCAGGAGGGCCCCCGCTCTTTCAGGCTTTGAAGAGACTATTTCAATGGGGACTCCTAGCTCCAGAGACCCCTACACAGTCCACTGGTGCTTGGTCAGGCCTGTGTCATAGCTCAGCTTCTTCTGTGCCCAATCTGCTTCCTGCCACAACTTTCTTTTGATCCTAAATAACCACCTTGCTCCCAAAGCTTCATCTCGGTATCTGCTTCAGCCTGAGATATGGGGATATGGGTGGGGTCTAAGATGGCTGAGTTTCTAGCTGGAGAACCTGAGGAACAGCGATACTGGGAATGGAGTTGATGGTTTAGGAGAGAAGGGGCAGGTCTGGGCAGTGGGGACATGGGTGTGCCTGTAGAAGTCTGGCCTGATAGGCCTGTTAGGCATTCAAGGGCAGCTCAGAATCAGTCGGGGCTGGAAATGGCAGTCATCAGGGCATTGAGCCATGGAGTAGTTAAAACTGTTCGGGGGAAGTGGCTCACACAGGGAGAATTCAAACAGAAAGTAGAGGGCAGTCCCACAGTTCACTGCTGTGCCAGATGAGGAAGGGGCTGCTGACCACGTGCAGCCTGGCCCTGCCCACAGCTCCCTATTGACTGAGAAGTAGCCTTAGATGCTAACAGTTAAAAACATTAAGCTCTACCTTCATGGCTTCCAGATGTTTCGATAACTCCTGACTGTTCTCAAGTCACAGGGCAGTCAGAGCAGACACTATGTGGAAAGATCACTGCTTTTAGGGATAGTCAGACCCAAGTTGGTATCCCAGCTCTGCCCTTCCTGTCTTGGCCACTCCCAGTCTCCATGATCTCACCTATAATATCACTTTAATCAGGGTTGTGGTAGAGATGAAATCAGAAATAGTATGGCTAACTCAATGTTCTGAAAACTTAAAGGGAAAGAAGCACTGACGCTGATTTTTTGGTCTAAATTATACCCCAGAGAAACCAAATAGTTGATGAGGGTAAGATTTAAAAAAACAAATTTGAGAACTCTAGTTAATAAACGGGAAGGTAAAAATGAGAGTTATTGTCACTGCTCTGCGCCCTCTGATAGCACAACGCGTCTCAGCGGGGATCAGGGCTGGCAGCAGAACCAACCATGGGATTCCCCAGTGACTGGAGCTGGCTGACCCCACCCAGTCATCTTCACCACAACTCAGGACAACCAGGTTACGTGCCTCCCGAGGTGACACCGTGGGAAGCTCACAGCTCTGCCTACGAAGTGTTCCTGCCCAGAAAACTGAATCTGAACCTGAATGATCCTCTAAATGTAACTGCCAGTTTAGGGCAAATACCAGGGACACAGAAACAAGTTAAAGGACACCGTGAGGCTGCAATCAGCAAAATCCAGGCCGTGGGGAATTCTATAGAGCAAACGAGCCTGTTTCTTCTACAGAGTAATGG